CTCCTATAAAGCTTCTCTGCCTCTGACAGTCTGGTGACCCCTAACGGCATAGGTTCAGGTTTGTGGGGATATTTATGGGATAATAATAGTAACAGTGAGAATTGCCCACTAATTCAATTCTCAGATCCCAAAGAACGTTTATCGTGTTAAGTGGAATGTATTTCATATAATAATATCACAATGTATAAAAATAGATTTTATTTATGATAACCAATAATTAACAAATAATATTATGTAACATGCATAACAATAATCAATGAATATCCAGTATAAAATGGTATGCAATACAAAGGAATGGGTATTACGTTTCAATGGCTAAACTCATTATCTGTCAAGACTTCTACGATTTATGAGGTATCCTTAACACAGGCTGAAAGTGAAACTTTTCACACAGAGAACAGAATTCCTCAGAGTGCAGCATAAGGTCGTAAAGTTTAGCAGACAGTTAGAATAACCCTTTCAATGCTGGCTAGATCTCCTAGGTAGTTAAGATCTATTCTTATGTAATTTTTAAATAAAATAACATTTAAACCAGTTCACTAGTCATTTTCTTAAACCATCCAATAAGAGAATTTACCATTATATAAGCAGATTTTAATTTGTCTAAAAGATATCTATCTTAATTTAGAGCAAATCAATACACCTGGATAAAAACAGCGGTATGCTAACACGTGATAATATCACATCAATATATAATTATTCTTAATTCCACCTGCAGAATGGAATGTTTATAACTATATATTCTTAGTTAACTAAGATTTCTTAATATGGAAATCTGACCGTGCTTTATCCAGTCATATATAATGCTATTAATACATTTTAATTAATTTAATTTAATTAAATGAAATCAGTATAATTACCAGTTGAGTAGATATTTCATCCGATTGGTAGTCTCAGGAATTTATTTGGATGTGTCTCTGCATGGAGGTTGGAGTCCCCAAACTTCCAATTCCTCTCTTTTCTCTCCTTTGCATATCTTGCATCTGCCTCCTCTCGTCTTGTCTCTATCTTCCCTTTGTCTTAACTTTTAAAGGGCCAGACTCTCTGTACGTCATCGGTTGATAACCCAATAGAAGCACTAGAGGTGTGGTTATCTTCCAGATCGCAAATTAGGTATTTGGTCTGTAGAGGGCAGTCTTGTCCCACTAAACATACCTATCCAGGAAAGAGTTAACTTTTCCTGGTGGCTATTTTGACGTCATTTTGCGTTATCTTTATAGCGCCATAATTTAAAATTTCAAAGGGTTTCTTAAATTTTGTCCAGACTTAGCGTCTGCAATTCCTGCCATAATTTCTGATATGACAGATCATGAACTAAGTTTACCCTTTTCCATACAATGGTACCTTATATGTATAGACAGTAAAATTAAATTATTTAATCTTCTCTGTCACAATTGTCTGGGTTTAGATATGATTATATTCTTTTAGCATTAGACAGTCTGTCCAACCCCCTTCCTTATCACTTGGCTTGTATATACTATGCATTCCTGAGCTCTGGGAAAGTGGTTAGCTTACAGATAGAAATATAGTGTCTTTCTGTTAACTTGAAATAACAAAATGGAGTCTGGTCTGTTCAGAGTGACTCAGAATATACACTTTTAGTTTCTATCATAGCACAAAATGTCTGCCGATATAAATACTCTGACATAACCCCCCTTTAGTGCATTTCATAGCCAAAATTAATTTAGCTTATGAATAAGCACTATAGAAGTTATCAGACATATTGTGCAATCACATCATTTCTAACATAGTACATTATTTTCATTTGAAAAATGTCTCTGAGAGTTACATATGGTATGGTCAATAAAAAGCAAATCTCCATACATTTAATTGCATAGGCTCAATTGTCTCTCCATCCACATTGGCAAGCATCGCATGAACAATATCCTTGGATACAAAGTACAGAGGTATGCGTCCCCCTGCCAATTCGATCATTCCAGTTTGCACTTCGTCAAGAAAAGCAAGTGTGTGGAACAATATTGGGTCATGCAGAAATAGAAGTTCACGCTTAAATAAGTCATGACTTTGGTGCAACTCAGTGGATTTGGCAATTAATTCCGAATGCAAATTTGTTGTAACGACTGTGTCTTCCACAATAGTTAACACGTCTTGGAGAAGTGTTCTTTGCTGTTTATCACCTGATGAATATCGTTAATGTGTTGCTTTAGCGCATAGATTTCCATATCCAGCTTTTGGACAGTAATAGAGTTGGCTGCAGACATTCCAGTTGCGACAACTGCACCGACAGTGGCACAAACTAATGCAACAATTATAGCGGTGAGGAACCTTTTGGGTCGGTTGCTCATCGGAATAGAACTGGATACAAATGGTTTCCGGGCTTGCTCCAAGATGTTTCGCACACGGTCCTGTGCTCTTTGGAGGTGCATCTGGTACCAAGTCTGTAACTCAGGAAGCTGCATCGATGAAATGTTGTATGCCTTCTCGATGGAAATCTTGGGGTCCAAGCTGACGAACACACGTCTGGTCAGGATCCTCTTCTCTGTTAAGATGAACCCTGGTGTCTCTTGAATCAGGAAGCCGGAGGATGGTCCCATCTCTGCGATCGGGTCGGTCCGTAGCTCTTGGCACAGGAGCAGTACGATCCAGAAACACGCCACATCCTTCTTGGACATCTTTCGACAGTCACGGATCAGGAACTCGTTTCAGACTTATCTACTAATGATTCAAGGTTTGTTAAGCATACAAACTTATAACAGTGTGACATCACTTGGCCTAGGACAACACATTATTACGATTCATCAACATATGTATTCTGTCTAATTCTATTTTTATAACTTCATCCCTCACTACATTTATTACTGACTCTTCAGTAATTTGCCTATAGCATTTAAACAAGCTAGTAACCTGCTTATAAAATGTAGTTATTGGATGGCAAGGAAATGGTTAATGACATGA